GTAAATAATTCTCAGCTCCTAAAGCATAAAGGTTTAGCTCAATATCTGAAAAATTGAGTTCTACATCAATCAGTTTGTGAGATATTTTGCTAACACACAGGTGAGGACAAAAACATCATCTCACTCCCTTTGCCGTTTGGCTGGAGTGACAAAAAGGAAAAAAGAAGAAAATTAAAATATGAGAAATAAAGAAGCAGTTTGAAGATGATGGTAAAACCATCACTGCAATGAACATTTAAAATTACTTTCAGAAATGGAAACACTTTTATTTCTGTGAAAATAAACCACAACAATAATTATTTCAGTGAGTWTGAAGAAAGTTCTGTAATGACCTACAGTATGTTGCAGCTGAGAGGTAAGAGCCTTTAGGTGAATGTTCATCAACATAATGCATATTGCAAATGAAATGAATAAACTACTACTACTACTACTACTACTACTACTACTACTACTACTCCTACTACTACTACTACATAATGTGTAACATTTGTTATATGAACAGTTTGTGCAGCATTCTTCTTCCTCCCATCAGCTCTTTGAAAAAAAGGTCAGTCTYTAGCACAGAATCATTCTTTATTAGTAAAGTATTTTTTTCAATCATGGGCTCTGTTGCTACTACACTGACAGACAGCTGTGGAAAATAAACCCCCTCCAGAAGATGTTCAACATCTTTCTGTATATTTAAATTTCATGTGTGTGTGGATTGTCATTGAGTAGTCTAGTTTTGCATTCCAAAAACATACATCTGAGGTTATTGGAGATTCCAAATTGATTTTAAATTGGAATGCATACCTCCCTTCTTACACACTGATTGTTGTGGAGATCCACACCAGCTCCATGTGACTCTGAACAGGAAGACAAAATGGATGGCTCTAAATTACTAGACTTTTGAGTTGCGTTGAATGTCCAAAGGGTGGAGATAAATTGAGTTTACGAATCTTTAAAGTGTTCATGAGCTGCTGACTAACCTTTTCAGTTAAACTGTGGACTGATTTTCAGACAGTCAATATTCCGGATAATTGCAGAGATATCTGCATTTTTAAGTACCAAAGAACAGGCTTGCTAAAGATATTTTTGACAAATTTAACTGCCATTTTTAGCAAAAATTAACTAACTGCAAAGAGTCCTGAGAGTTGTTTGGTTACTTAGCTAGGACTCAAAAAGTGTTTTTTCCAGAACTTTCATTAATTTGTTATCTTTACCCGCTTCTTCACTTCACTTCACTTGTGGGAGGAAACTGGAGTGCCCAGAGAAAACCCATGCATGTATGGCGAGAACCTTCAAACCAAGGATGCACTGATGCAAGTTTTTTTTTCAAACTGAGTACGAGTACAAGTACTTCAGATTTGGTACTCGCCGATACCGAGTACTGATACAAGTAGCTACTACTGAGTTACAACTTACTTGGTTATTATAATATTAAGGGATGTTTGTGAAACCTAAAATTCAAACAAATTTGAAGAACAGTCAAAGGAATAAGCTTGTGGAATAATCAGGATAGTGATTACAAAAAATGCTGGCTCAATTAATTTGTTTAAAAGAATGATAAAAGTTAATTTGCTAATGAAATATGAAATTGTAAAATTTGTATTTACGAGAGCTGCTGTTTGAGGAGCTGAAGTTTTTGTTTTGTTTTATTATCACATATCAGTATATAACAGATATTATAAGATTTTTTCTTCTTTCTGCTACTTTCATTTTATTTGATGTGGATTATTTTGTTGTATATGAATTTGTTTTGGTTTTAAATTAAGTAAATAAAAAATCTAGCACTAAATTAGAAACTTATCTAATGTTTGTCAAAATCAAGCTCAGTTTAAACCAGTGGTTTATCCTGGTCCTCGAGGACCATTATCCTGCATGATTTAGTTGTTTCCCTGCTCCTCAGCAGGTTTTTAGATCTGCAGAAGCCTGTCAATCAAATCAAATGTACCAAAGCAGGAAAACATCGAAAACATGCAGGATAGTGGTCCTCGAGGACCAGGATTGAGAACCACTTGCATAAACAGTCATACCTCATTTCTCAGACAGTCTGTCTGGTGGGGTTTTACAGATTGATCCAAGTAATAATGGCACTAACCTCAAGTCATGCAATTTAAATCTTGTAGCACCACGCGTCTTCAGCTACAGAACAGCCATCCGTGTCCTGGATGACTGAGAGTCCACAGAAACATCTGATAGCAACAGTGTCGAACCATWTCGAAACTAAAGTTCTGGATCAATACTTTAGTTGGATCACTTCCAGCTCATTGTAACACCACACGTCCTCAGCTAAAGAACAGAAATCTTTTTCTTTGAATTTTCCACCTCTTTGATGACAGCAAAATCATAGAAACATCTGACAGTAGTAGTGTCGGACCACGCCAAAACTAAAGTAGATCGATACTTGTGTTAGCTTTACTTGCAGCGCGTCACGTCGCTCACGTTTTATAAAATACAAGCTTCACCGGAGCATCTGACCACAGGGAGGTTAAAACATAAACAGTGAAYTAAACAAGCATGTCAGATAATTATTTTACCCGTTCAGCTTGAATAACAACTTCACAATTAACAAGCTAAGAAGTAGCATTCACTGTAGAAACCTGTTGTTTAATCCTGTAAACGGCGCATGCGAGTCACAATAACGACAGTCTGGAAGTATTTTTAAAATGTGAACATCCACTCCAAAAAATGGTATTGGTTCAGTGTTTTGGGGCATTTTGAATGAGTACGAGTAGCTACTTGTAAAATGTTGGCATCGGACCCGATATTGGTCTGTATTGGTGCATTCCTACTTCTAACAAACCCAATCCGGCAACCGAGAGGCAACAGTTCTACCAACTGAGCCATCGTGCTGCCCCAGGACATTCGTGATTCAAAAAAAATTCTCACGTTAACAATATCTTTTTATTAGCTTTTCTTTATGATGTCATTGAATCCAATAGGACAGATCAACAATTAGTAAGGACAGACAACACAGCTCCTGGTTACATTTTTTTAGAGTGCACGTTTTGCACAGCTGCACATAAACAGGAGAATGAGCAAACTGCCAGAGCAAATACTTGCCGTACAAAGTTTCGGATTTATTTGATTCAAAGATAAATGAGAGCATAATGACCCATTATCTCACAAAGCTAAAAATTGTGCAAACTGTTTTTCATTCCTTTGACAGAACTTTAGACGTCATCACTGTCACTCAGTACTACAAATTTAGTCTTTAGGCAGCATGATTGGATCATTTTCGACAGTCTGTTGACATTTAGTCATGCAGTCATGTCAGCACGTAGTAAAGGTCTCAAAGGTCAATGATACCATCCAAAGCTCAAAGTTTTTGAAGAAGAAAAAGAGGTCACGTGAACAGTAAATTCCAACAAAATGCAAGGACTTCATAATTTGTATTAACAATGTTAGTTTCTAGAAAAAAACTCAATTAGTCAGTTCATTCTACCTACAACAAAATGTTGTAAGTTTTGACGAATAGGCATGGTTTTGGCACATTTGTACAGTTGTATAGATGGAACAAAACAACCTTATGTGTCAACACGAGCTTTAACAACAGATTAAGGCTTAATAACATATTTATGGCACAAATGGAACCCCATACAGACGTGCATAGTTTTATTTTCATCTTGTTAAAAATGTGTATTTCAAGACATGTTTCTGCCTGGTTTGCAGCGACTCATCTTGTTCAATCTAAACTCTTTGTTACTGCGTCACCTGTGCCTGAGAGTCATGACTCGGGGTAAAGTTAAACAAATTTTTCCCCGCCACGTGAAATTGAAAACACGTGACCATGCTCTTATAAACAGATGTCATATGATTTGATGTCAGTCTGCAACATGGCGGCCAGGTCCCGGTGTTTAGCGGTGGCTCTGTTGTTTATCTTCAGCGGGGCTTTTGGTTTACCGATAAACCAGCAGGAGAAAGATCCAACCACCTGCGGATACCAGGTTAGCTGCCATCCTGCTTAGTGTTTTAATGTTTGTTTATCATAGCTAAAGTTGCTAATTTTAGTTTTGTGCGCTGGCAATTTAAGCGGAAGTTTTACTGAGGGGGCTTCCCTCCTTTGTAACAGCCTTTTAGAAAAGCCTTCGTAGTCATTAAACAGTGCTGAGTCTGTAAAAATGTATAAATCAAAGCAGTGTTAACCAGGAGAAAAGGGTGCTTTTATTTAGTCTTTTTTATTTTTTGTCATAAAATGTGTTTATGTGCCCGTGTAGTCATGTCACTCCACCAAAGCCAACATGCTGAATGTTCACCTGGTTCCTCACACACATGACGATGTTGGCTGGCTCAAGACTGTGGACCAGTACTTCTATGGAGGTCAGACCTCTTCTTTATCACATGACATAACCTCACTGAATTTACTTTTCTTGAACAATTCTGTGCTTCTAGTTTTCTTTCATTTGGCATTGCTGTGCATTTACAAAATGACACACTAAGGTAAAATCTTACTGTCAGATTCATACCCACCTGATGAAATGTATCAATTGTTGGTGGGTTTTATCACAAACATTTATTTAAGCTGTATGAAGTTTTAGTTTTTAAAAAAATGGATGGAAAATCATTAATTTACAGCAAATTTCAAAGGTGAAACTTAACCAATGTATTAAAAATGTCATGTCTTGTTTATTGTATTTATTTTTGACGTGTTCACTATACTCCAACGACGTGAGATAGCGTATCGCTCATTACATACAGCTGGTAAAATAAGTATTGAAAACGTCACCATTTTTCTCAGTAAATATATTACTAGAGGTGCTAATGACATGAAATTTTCACCAGTTGTCGGTAACAACCCAAGTGATCCATACATAYAAAGAAATCAAACCATAARTGTCCAGAAATGAAGTTATTTGTAATAATGTGGAATGGCACAGGGAAAAAGTATTGAACACATGAAGAAAGGGAGGTGTAAAAAGGCATGGAAAGCCAAGACACCAGCTGAACTCTCTCAGTAATTAGAAACCAAGCCTGCCCCTTGTCAGTGCAAGTTAATATCAGCTGGTTCAGTCCCAAATGATGGCCAGGTATCACACAAGAACCATCTGATGATGGGTAAAAGTAAAGAGCTCTCTCAAGACCTTCACAACCTTATTGTTGCAAAGCATAATGATGGCATCGGTTACAGAAGAATGTCTAAACTTCTGAAGGTTCCAGTGAGCACTGTTGGGGCCATAATTCAGAAGTGGAAAGAACATTATTTCACCATAAACCGACCACGACCAGGTGCTCCTCACAACATTTCTGACAGAGGAGTGAAAAGAATTATCAGAAGAGTCGTCCAAGAGTCAAGGACCACTTGTGGAGAGCTTCAGAAAGACCTGGAATTAGCAGGTACGATTGTTTCAAAGAAAACAATAAGTAATGCACTGAACCACCATGGCCTGTATGCACGCTCACCACGCAAGACTCCACTACTGAAGAAACAGCATGTTGAAGCTCCTTTAAAGTTTGCTGCACAACATTTAAACAAGCCTGTGAAATACTGGGAGAATATAGTCTGGTCAGATGAGACCAACATTGAACTGTTTGGATGTCAGAATACACATCATGTTTGGAGGTCAAATGGCACTGCACATCAGCCCAAAAACACCATACCAACAGTGAAGTTTGRAGGTGGGAACATCATGGTGTGGGGCTGTTTTTCAGCATATGGTACTGGCAAACTTCAAATAATTGAAGGAAGGATGAATGAAAAAATGTACAGAGACATTCTTGATAAAAATCTGCTTCCATCTACCAGGATGATGAAGATGAAACGTGSCTGGACATTTCAGCAAGACAATGAGCCCAAACACAAAGCCAAGGAAACTCTCAGTTGGTTTCAGAGAAAGAAACTAAAGCTGCTGGAATGGCCCAGCCAATCACCTGACCTGAATCCAACAGAAAATCTATGGAAAGAACTAAAGATCAGAGTTCATAGAAGAGGTCCACGAAACCTTCAAGATTTGAAGACTGTTTGTGTGGAAGAATGGGCCAAAATCACACCTGAGCAATGCATGCCACTAGTTTCTCCATACAGGAGGCGTCTTGAAGCTGTCATTGACAACAAAGGCTTTTGTACAAAGTATTAGATAAATTTCAGTAAGTGTGTTCAATACTTTTTCCCTGTGCCATTCCACATTATTACAAATAACTTCATTTCTGGACATTTATGGTTTGATTTCTTTGTATGTATGGATCACTTGGGTTGTTACCGGCATCTGGTGAAAATTTCTTGTCATTAGCACCTCTAGTAATATATTTACTGAGATAAATGCTGACGTGTTCAATACTTATTTTACCCGCTGTAGTTTGGGACGGTCTTTTTCTCACGTAGTGTTGATAGTCAATGAGAAACTATGACCTGAAAGGTCATCCCACTTACAACACGTCACTCCCAAAGACATGGTTGTCAGTGTTTATATTCAGCTGATGATAACAGTCCTATAAAAGCACAGAGTAACTATTTTACATTTGTGTATTATATGGATTTGCATTGCCCGAACAGCTAAGGTTAGCGCAGCATATGTAGAGCAAATTTATTTAAATGCTGATTGCATTCCTGTTAAAATGAATGCAGTTTTGCAGGAGGGTAAAGTTTTAAAAAAAGCYGCTTCAGTTTCTATGTACTTACCTCCACATTCGTTATTAGGCATTAAAACAAATTCACAAAGTACTTTTTTTTTTTGCACTTGCATAAAACGTAATACCAGATTTGTCCCTTTTAAGAAAATACCCTGTTTCCAGCTTCAAATTCTGAAATTAGTTGCACAACTTTGAGTGAAGATAAAGGAAATTTAATTTGAGCCTCCTAATCTTTGTTTGGTTTAAAGATTGCTGAGCAGGTTTCCTCCAGATAAGTGCTTTAAAATGAGCAACTTTATTTTTTAACTCTACAAATAATTTTTGTTTTAGGCTTCTGAAGGGCAAAGTTTGCACCGTTCCAGTAAAGTACAGCCTTTGAAACTGTTTCATTTAGATTCCTTTTTTTCCTGTTTGTCAGCAGTTTTTACAGCTGTACAAGTTTTACCACGACGGTGTGACTAGCTGCTTTCTCAGCACCTTTTTTTATATTTTTATTTTTTATGGTAAACTGTGTGATCAACACGTCATCTTGTTTTGAGTTGGATTATTTAGCCCTCGGGTCTTGCTGGGGGAAAAAAGTCAGCCACACATTTTTTTTGGTTGGATTTTACTTATTTTTTTAAAGACTTTTAGAATTTCTTGGTCATGTTTACTGGCATCACCAAAATAAATGTTTTGCCTTTTGTTAGAATTGTTTCTAAGGCTACCTTTAACACCCACTCAGTTTAACTACACTTTTGTTTCTTTTGGAACAATTGACCCATTAAAACACATTTAAATACATTTTATGATTATTCATTTATCACCAGTTATGTTTTTTTATTTATTTTGTTTTCATCTCTATTCCTCCATTTTTTTAATATTAGCCACTTATGTGGTGCACCACTTTCACTTTAGAGAGGTGCTGTAAAATCACTCCATTTTTACCTTTAATCTAAAAACAACTAAATTGAATTTTGTTTAAAATCACAAATCTTACTTTTTTATTTTTTATTTTAATTTTCTAGCTCAGTTTTTTTCATGCAATGCACTGCAGTTATGCTTGCCTGCATGAACATCTGCCTTGTTTTTGCAGCTGCAGGTTGCAGCAGCCAAACCTCCAGCCTGAAACATTTCAAAAATGTCTTAAACTGAATTTGGGCATGCAAAGGGGCAAAAATGCCACTTTTTTTCAAAAGTTGTCATTAAATAAATGAATTGCAGATTTTATAAAAGAAAATTAATTGTGGCGTTTTGTAAAACCAAAGGGCTTTTAAGTATTCTGAAATTTAAAATATGTAAACTAAATATATTTGTATTTTTGCCTAAGATATCTGAAAAAATTGACAAATAGTTGAACAAATATTTAATAACACATATTTAATAAATTAATATTTAATAAATTGTTTACCCATAAACAGTTTTTGTTATAAAGGTAAGGACAATTTAAGACAGTATCACTTCAACTGGTTTTTATTTTGGTTGGATTGTACGTTTAAGTTTTGTAGGTTTTCCTTTAGATTCTCGTTGAATTATTATGTTTAAAAAAAGTGTGTGTTAATCTTATAACAGCAGCTGAATAGTTGAGAAAAATAAGTAGAAAATTCTTTGAGTATTTTTTTTATTTGTTTTTTCATAAATCTTTAAGACAATCTGCCAGGGTTGTATCAGCTGAGATCAAGTTTCCGTTTCCTGTCGACACCAAATCAAGGCTTCATCTTTTCATCTGATAATATTTTTACGTCCCAACTTTACTTTTGCCTGTTTTGAGTCCAGACCGTAATGACATCCAGCACGCTGGGGTTCAGTACATCCTGGACTCGGTGGTGGATCAGCTGTTGAAGAATCCCGACAGGAGGTTCATCTACGTCGAGACGGCCTTCTTCTACCGCTGGTGGAAGCAGCAGAGCTCCAGCACGCAGCAGACGGTCAGGCAGCTGGTCGACGAAGGTGCGTGACCGGTGCTGCACACGCAGCTGATTTCACTCTTGAGTTTTGGATCACTTCCTGACTCAAGTCCTGATCTTCCAGGCCGGCTGGAGTTTGTGAACGGCGGCTGGTGTATGAGCGACGAGGCCACCACCCACTACAGCGCCGTCATCGACCAGATGACCTTAGGCCTGAGGTTCCTCAATGAGACTTTCGGAGTGTGTGGTCGTCCTCGTGTTGCCTGGCACATCGACCCCTTTGGCCACGCTCGTGAACACGCCTCCATGTTTGCACAGGTAGCAAAACTGTTTAGCTACACACAATGAATAATAAGTAAAATCATGTATGTGTTGCTATATTTCAGTAATATTTATTTGGTTATTGCACACATTTTTTTCTTCTGAAGCAAATGTAAAAAGAAAAAAAACAAAAAAAAACATTTTTGGTTGTTTTTAGTTTACTGAACCAAAATGAACATTTGGATAACAAACCGATTTCCACTTTTGTGCACTAAATAATAATAATAATGGATAAGGAGCGCTCTCTTTCATTTATTTTATTTTTTAGACAAGTAGCCTGACATATTGGCACGCTTAGATGTTTATCTCTCAGAATTTTCTCTGTTTTTGTTCCACATTCAGAACAAAGTTAGGATATTAGGTTTTCTGTGTGTAAATATGATCAAATGTGCACAAACCAACTAAGGCTCTCTGCAGTCACTAAGTGCGACCTTCTTGAGTGTGGGTGTAGTTTAGGTAAACTGTGATTGGTCGGATTGATGTGTGGGCGGGGTTTGAGTAGGCAGCTGGGGAGAAATATAACAGTTCAGATGCTAGATTTTGTAAATATTAATTTTATAGTCATGACTCAAGACAGGAAGGTGGTAACAGCACAAAATCTGAACACCGCACATGTGGAGAGACGTGGAACAATTTGGCTCAGTCAAAAGAGCCCTGACCCGCGTGAGTGATGATTTGCCATTTGTAATATGAATATTAATTATCAGAAGTCATAAATTCAAACAGGAAGGTGCTAGCTGCACCAAATTTAATGTCAATAAATGTATTGTTCTGTTTTAAACCAGAAGTACAGTCAATAAATTATCGTTACATGTTCACAATAACTTCCTCGACTCGTCAATTCGACCAATCACTGCTTACTTTACTCCGAGGAAATTTTATTTATTTTATTTATTTTATTTTATTTATGCATGCATGCATGCCACACTTTATTATAGGGAATGTCTCATTTTAAAGAAAAACAAACGTGTAGTCTGAGGGAATTGTACGTTGACTGGCACAAATATTTTACACGTTGATTCAAACACATTGTTGTCAAATGTATTTTTTTACAGTTCAACAGGGTTCTTAGCTTTGTGTGTCTTTTATTTATTTATTTATTTATTTATTTATTTATTTATTTATTTATTGACATATTGCAAATATGATTTTATGGAGAAACTGTTCAAGAGGGCCAAGTTAGAGCTGAGGATGTGGGTATCAGAACCAGAACGTGGCTACAGACGAGAGCTGAGACATAAACAAACATACATACACAAAAAAAAAAAGAAAAAAATAATTGTGGAACATTTACATTTCTGACCCAAGATGAATTTTGATCAGTCTGCAGATGTGTTTCATCATTTTGAACTTGCATCACAGTATTAGGGGGGGAAAAAATGTTTGAATTGTTAAAGAGTCTTCTCCTGTATGAAGCTGTTAGTTTTTACGTAATTATAAGATGTCATGTCTGTGAGTTACTTCAAAAAATTCTCAGTTAACAGATGTTAGCAAAAAAAATCTATAAGTAGGAAAAATATAATAATACAACTAAATCCTTGATTAAGCCTGTGGAAACTTCCAGGAATAAATAAAACTTATTTTCTGATTTGGAGTGAATAGAGAAGAGGTACAAGACACAAATGAATCCACTGATTTACAGGTGAAGCTAACTGTTTGGAGGGGAAAAAAGACCCCCATTATTGTGTTTTTAGGAGTCAAACCAGCTTCTCTTATGTGAGTTTTTTTTTCTGCAGGTTCTTTCCTGTTTTAAGTGATTTTATGGCTCTTTTCACWGATGCACACTTTCCATGCATTCTGGGGGGAAAAAAGCAGGTTCTATCAGTACTGTTGGTAGTATTCGGCTCCGCCCACATCTTTGTGTCTTATAGATGGGATATGACGGCCTCTTCTTCGGCCGTGTGGACTACCAGGACCGAGGTCGCAGGATGGCTGAGAAGGAGCAGGAGCTTCTGTGGCGAGCCTCCGAAAGCCTCACGCCACCGATGGCCGACCTCTTCACTGGTACCAGAACCATCTGTGCTGTGTTTGTCCAGTGATGGATCACATCAAGACCAGTTGTCACCCCGGTATGTTTTAAACAGGAATCCTTCCCAATGGCTACAACCCTCCTGAGGGGTTCTGTTGGGACCAGCTCTGCAGCGACGCACCAATCAGAGACGATCCAGATCTAGATGACTATAATGTGGACGATGTGGTGCAGCGCTTTCTTCATGCTGCCAACAGTCAGGTTTGGCATTTATCTCAGAGCCATAACAGTGTCTGTGGTTACATTATAGTCATCATAAGCATTATTTTTACCTCTTTCTTCAGGCAATGGTGTATAAAACCAACCACATCATCATGACCATGGGCTCAGACTTCCAATATGAGAATGCCATCCTGTGGTACAAGAACCTGGACAAGCTGATCCACTACGTCAACGCTCAGCAGGCAAACGGGAGCATGGTGAACGTGCTGTACTCTACTCCATCCTGCTACCTCCAAGAGCTGCACCGAGCCAACCTCACCTGGTACCAGCAGCGCTTCCAGCAGCCCAGCTGCAGTGTAGAGGCTGTAGCCAGAATCAATCAATCAATCAGTCAATCAATCATCATCTCTGTCCAGGCCTTTGAAGGAAGATGATTTCTTCCCCTACGCAGACGACGCTCACAACTTCTGGACCGGCTACTTCACAAGCCGCCCGGCTCTGAAGCGTTACGAGAGGATAACGAACAGCAACCTTCAGGTGATCTGAGCTTCATTCCCTCTGCTGAGAATTTTTATCACGTAGGATAAAACCTCTTCACACCCAAGTTTGCGCTTGAAATAACRTGCCGAAACGTAATTCAGTATGTCTCATCTTTTACAAACTGTACTTGAATAATCTTGGTATCAAAATAAAGCTAACACTTAGGAGGTTTCATCAGAAGCTAAAGTGTCAACGCTGTTCTGTTTCAGAGATGGTGGGGATGAAACTAAATAATACTTTTTTTTTTTTGCATAATAAAGTAAATAACCCTTTTAAAGATATAATGAATAAGCTTAAAAACTCTTGAAAAGCCATATATCCACAGGTGGACATTACCTGTGTGAAGATTCATTCTGCTAAAATAAATTAGAGCAAACTTACAGAGGATTTAGTAAAGAAATATCTCAGCATTGTCATTCTGTACAAAATGGACCAGTTTGGTACCTTCAATAAAGGTAAAAAAATCTTAGGTTTTTAATCGCAATTTTTATGCTTTTTTAATGTTTTAAAAAAATAAAATACTCCCATATTTATTTTTCACCCTATTTAAATAAAACCATGAGCCTCTTGCAAGAACATGTTCGTATTCTTATCCTAAATTTCTCTTACTTTTGTTCGTACGAAATGTTCGTACGAACATGTCACGTCAGATTCAACAAACTCTTCTATCTTCAGGAAAAGTGTGTAAATGAGCAGCTTAAACTGATGAGTGTGTATCAGGTGCTCGTGCTCGGGGATAGGTGATTTTCATAATTACCACCCCAAAAACACCATATAAGGCTACATTTCCTGCCCCACATACCAGGAAGTGTTCATTCATAAATGACATCGCAAAGTTAAAAAATGAAAAACTTTGAGTTTGGAGATTAAAGTTCTGCTCTCAGAGATCCAGAAAAAAAATGTCATTTTTAGCCAAGGAATGAAAAGACGACTGCTGTTAATATTGTCTCCTGTGGGTCGTACACAGTCAGAAATAAAAATCTAAATCATATTCATCTCTCTCTCTCTCTAGTCCTGCTCCGGTTTTCCTTTGGTCAAATTTTTAATTTAAGTGTAATTAATTAATATTGTAGTGTTATACAACAGTATTAAAAGCCTATTTAATTTAATTTAAACAATTAGGGAGTGTGATTTATTTTCAAACTAATGAAATATAAAGTCATTAGTGAAGAAAATACGTCTGGATAACAGCAGACTGACTGCTGGTAAAATATACGACAGGTCTGGACCAGTCGTGAATTTTGTTCGTATCTGAAAAAAATCTTAGAATACGAAAACATTGGTGAATGCCACAAATTCTCCTAAATCACTCGTACGCACAACTTAAGAACAAATCTGTTCATACGAACGGTTCTTGCATGAGGCCCATTGAGAGGTGATTTATGTATGACTACAAATGAGGCAAGTTAAAAAAAAAAAACTTTCAAAACACTTTGCAAATTATTATTGTGTGTGTGTGTGTGTGTGTTGGGGGAAAACTCTCTTTATTGCAGAGAACTCTTGAGATAATATAGAAAATATCATTGTGGGTCACTTTTCTACATTCATATTTCTGTGAAATTTAAGGTTTTGTCTCTTTCTCTTTAAACAGACATGTAACCAACTGGAGGTGCTTGCTGGTCCAGCTTCCAGGAAGGGACCTTTTGGAAAGGGGGACAGCGAGACTTTGAGTAAGATTTTGACATCACGACCCTGTGTGCACTAAGAAAAGTAGTTCAGAGGAGTATTTTATTATAATTAAACTTATATTGGCGCTGACGATAATAAATCTCACTGAGAACCAGAGTGATGACTGACAACTGTGTGTTTGTGCCGATTTGCAGGGAAAGCCATGGCTGTAGCCCAGCACCATGATGCTGTGTCTGGTACAGAGAAACAACATGTTGCCAACAACTACGCCAAGATGTTAGCCAATGGCTGGCAACATTGTCAGGTATTTTAAGATTCACAAAACATGAAATTACAAAAGTTTTAGCTACTACTATATAGAGCTGTGTATTACCAAGAAATTGCTGAAATGATACATATCACGACACGGGGGTCACGATATGATGTATTGCGATAATGTTAGCAAGGTGAAACTTTTTCCCTTAATGATTCTAATTTAAAAGGGCACCCCATCCATTACGTGCATAAACTGATTAAATTCAGTTTATTTTTATGCAATCAGAAAAACACTATCAGAAAAACACTAAACAGTGAGAACTGCATTACAACATCCATCCATTAAGCCTTCATTAAAAATCAATACATCCCTTTTGACAATCGATACAGTATCAGGAAATGAAATGTGATATTTTAGTGTATCGATATTTTCTTACACCCCTAATGTTGTGCTATATGAAACCCTCTCATTATTAAGCTTTAATATGGGATAGTATTTTTCCAAAGTCGGTTTGTTTTAGACCATTGCTTACAGGTTTATCAGGGTTCCTGCAGGTCCTTAAAAAGTCTTAAAAGTCATTGAATTCATCAATCCAAAAATAAGGCCTTAAAATGTTTTAAATCAGCCTTTCGAGGTTCTTAAAAATGTTGCATTGTAAATTAGGATGACTGTAATTTGTCTCAAATATTAAAATCATTGGTAAAATTAATTTATTATTTTAAATTTACAGAATGCCTCCTCACAGCTAGTTGTTTTGTTAAAATAAATATGTAGGTAAAATTGTCACTGTTTTTGTATTTATTGTGAAGTTGGTCTTAAATTTCCTTTCAAGTGGCATTAAAAAGGTCTTAAAACATCTTAGATAAAATTTTCTTTGAGCTGTTGGAACCCTGTTCATCAAAGTGACTTCRATGTGATCTTTTCCTCATCCATCTTTGATTAATGCAGTTTGATTTATCACTTCTGTTTTTTTATTTGTTCTGTCTGTCAGGTGTTGGTCAGTAACAGTCTGGCTTCGCTCAGTGGCTCCTCAGCTGAAAGAATCTACTGCGACAACCTCAACATCAGCGTGTGTCCTCTCACAGAGTCCAGCAAAAAGGTGGGACAAAATGCACACKGAGTTAMTAATTAGATCAGAAAACACCACATCGTAAACAAARGGTTATCTTCTTTTTGATTTAATCTGTGGTGTGAACAGATCCTTTCTCAKTGTTGACGTCAGCCTGCCTGTTTCTGTCTCGTTCAGTTCTCAGTCAGTGTGTACAACTCCCTCGCTCAGCCRCTCAGCTGGCCCATCAGGCTGCCAGTCAATGGAACAGCGTACAGAGTAGCAGATGCTAAAGGCAAACCTGTGGACTCTCAGGTTTGTATGTGGAGTCATCAAGTACTCACACTGAATTCATTTAAAGGTTTCTTACTTTACTTTGGAGCTATATTTTAAAATGTTTGGACCCTTTTTAGTTTGTTAAAGGAGACCAATTATGGGTCCTAGAAATTTTTATGGTATGTSTGTGGGCTATCCAGACCATGTTCATTCAATTTAATGCACAAAATAATTCTCAGATAATAAACTGCCTGCTCTGACTTCCGTTCAGAAGAGCTGTTTATGGTAATGAGCTCTGTTGGTAACGCCTTCCAAAAATCTGTTGACATTAACTCCGCCCTCCAGAGCTAGCGTTTACGTTAGCATGGCTAAAAATAGCAGATGCTCCRTTGTACAACCGTATATAGACCCTGAGTCAGACACAGAGGCAGAGTCATGGATGCACTTCTTTTTTTTTTTTCTCCTCCTCCTCTGCTCTGCTCTCTTTTACCAGAGCAGGGAGCAGCAGCGGTCAAAATACCTCAGAAACTCAGAACAAATGGACTTTAACAAGGCTTTAATAAGCTAAACAATAGAGGTACATGAGAAAACGTGTTCATAACGAATGAAAATAATTTGTGTCTGTGCCAGTCACCAACCCTGGTCTCCCACCGTTTGGTCCAATGCTCTACCCATTGCCCTATAGGAGGCTTGTTGTGAAAAGAGCTGCGCATTGCACAACAACACCATGATGGCTTTTTATACAGAGGAGGAGGTGTCTCACCCGGAGTTTGCTTGGTAAGGGGCTGAACACAGGTTCCGGTGGGTTGTCGTACGGCTTGTGACATCACAAAATAACGGAAGTATAAAACTTGTCATTAATATGCATTAAAAATACATTTACTTACAGTAAATATGCCCCTGGGTGCATTTTTTTTTGGTCCTAGGACTGTTTTTTTAAGAAGTACATACCCAAAGTGAGTAAAAAAAAAACCTTTAAAAAGTGAATTTTGCATAATAGGTCCCCTTTAAAAAATCTGTATTCTACAATTCTGCAGAAATATTTGTCACTCATTTCTAAGTAACTTACAGTAATTATGTTGCTCTGTCTCTTTGGCTACAATCTTGCAGTTATTTATTATATAAAAACGTATTTTCCTCAAGTCATTTCTGCACCTCCRTTTGTGTTTGAAGGTGGTCCCAGTGTCCAGATCCACCCAGGAAGTGAGGCGGAATCGCGGCTTCGCCATGAACGAGCTGGTGTTCCAGGTTCAAGCTCCTCCTCTGGGCTACAGCACGTACTTCGTGTCTGCGATTCAGGATGCCCCCCCATTATTTCCCCCACGAAGCGGTGCCCCCACAGGGATCCAAAACAAGGTCTGTATACCTCCATTGTTCATCTCATATGTTTGGAGAAATGGGTAGTTTTGCCAAAAATTTACTTAAAAAAACAGAGAATAAAGGGAATGGCATTTGTGTGCTTGTTTGAGAAGTATCTGTTTCCATGTTCTTCAGTACCTGAAAGTGACCTTTGACCCCGACACCGGCCTCCTAAGCAGCCTCAGCAACCTGGAAACCAAACAGACCATCAAACTGACCCAGAACTTCTACTGGTCAGTTGGTTTTCTCACCACACGCAGAGTTCTAACACAAGCAGGCTGGTTTTAATCTTCAAGCCAAACACCTGCCAGTGACTGTTAACATTTGGCTGCTTAATATTTCAGGTATAACGCCAGCGTTGGCAACAGTGAGAGCTCTCAGACGTCCGGTGCCTACATTTTCAGACCCAACTCCTCCACACCCATCGTCATCAGCAAGGTGGCCAAGGTGCAGAGCTTGCAGGTAGAGAGCAGGGTTATTATAGTTAATTAAAACTAACCAAATAATGAAAACTGAAACTGAAAAAAACATTTTAGTTAACTGAAATAAATAAAAACTGTAATAAAATGAAAAAACAATAACTAAAACTGTATTGTTTTTACAAAACTAACTAAAACTAACTGAAATTATAGATAGAATATCCTTAGTTTTAGTGTTTATCAATGTTCTTTGAGCCATGTGGATCTTTTTATTTTTTAAATAAAGTAGTTTCACATTAGCTGTGGTCTGTAAAACACTTGTTTACAGTCTGCTGCTCAGCATCGACTGCCAAATGACGACAACAAAAGTTGAGAGGAAACGGCAAAGTACAMTTTGTGATTTCTTTAAATATGACTGCGAGAAAAATCAAAGCAAATGTCTTGTAGTGGAAACAGGTGATAAAACAGGTGGAATACTTCTCAAGGGAAAAACTGCATGAATTAAGCTCACACCAAGATGGCTAACTGTGACTATCTTGACACGCTAGCTTCTCTCAGTAGCTCCTGTGAAAAACAAGCAACAGGTAGCACCAGGTTGGAGAAAACAATTGTCATCGTCCTAATAATAATAATAATCACCCAAGTCCTTAGTTGGCAAAATTGAGTTAATTATTTTAGGAAGGTGTTGCTATAATAGACTGCTTTAACTAGTGACCAAATAGCTGGTGGTTACGTAGTTAACACACAAGCTTGAGGTTGCATAGGCAAATGTTTATTCAAACTATAAAAACCTAATACTAGAACTAATAAAAACGAAACTAAAACTAAGCATTAAAAATGCAATAATAACAAATAAAAACTAGCAAATCCACTGTAGAAACTAATTAAAACTAACTGAATTAAAAGAAAAAAGTCAAAACGAAATAAAACTAAACTATAATGAAAAATCCAAAACTATTATAACCTTGATAGAAAGTGAGCGACGTCACAACTGTTTTACTTCACATTAAAATATTGGTTATGAAACTATAAGAGAAATGTATTCTTTACTTCTTCTACCCCAGACGTCAGTGGTGCAGGAGGTCAGGCAGTGGTTTTCTCCCTGGGTGTCTCAGGTGGTTCGTCTCTACGCTGACAGCAAAGCTCTGGAGCTGGAGTGGACCGTCGGACCTCTGCCTGTATTGTGAGCATGACTGTGTCACTAATATGTGTGGAAAAATGATCAGAAGCTGTAGTGATACATAGGCTTTTTTTTTTTGGATATTAACATATTTGTATACATTTTTTTTTAAAACGCACAACTTGGTCTCATGGTGGTACTCTCTATTAGGGACAAGCGAGGGAAAGAAGTGATCACTCGCCTGGACACCGACATTAAAACCTCTGAGATTTTCTACACAGACTCCAACGGCAGAGAAATGCTGCAGAGGAGGTAAGTTAAGCAKCTGAAACCAGAGAATTGGCATTTAAAAAGGCAGTGTGGATGCTGAATGTTGACAGATATTTGCTGAATAGCTAAAAAAAAAAGCTGAAACTAGCCTAAAAATCAGGGGTGAGTAGTAGCTGAAATTAACACAAAGAAACAGAAACAGCACGTTCTCGGAATTAAGCAGTGAGAAGATGAATTTATCACACAAAGGTGACATCAGCTGGGGAAAAAAAAGGCTCAAATTAGCTAAAAAGTAGCTAAAAACACAGAAAACAGCTGAAAGTAGCAGGAAGCAGGTGTAAGAAGCACAAAAAGTTACAATTAGAAGAACAGAGGCAGAAGGATGGCAAAAAAGGCTCGAATCAGCAAAATAGAAGCTAAAGGAAGCTGAAACTAAAGAAAAAGTACAGTGAAGATTTATGAACATTTTCAAACATTTTAAGGATGTTTAAAAYGGCTCCATTCATTTTCAGTGAAAAGAATATAGCGAACAAAGCTAAATATCTCAAAGTATATGTTGCTGAAATACCAGAAGTCGTAGCTGGAGTGTCCTGAAGGAGCTGAATGTTCTGAAATAGAAACAGTTAAAATGGCACAAAACTTACGGAACAAGATATGGAAAAATGGATCTCAATAATCTGAATGAATAATCTATGTTTTAGACATTTGTAGAATCTGGTGGATGTAATCGTACAAAATAAAGTACAGTATAGTAAAGAGTTTTCCTTTAAACTCTGTGGGTTCTGTTTCTAACAGGAAGGACTTCCGACCAACCTGGCAGCTGAAGCAGACCGAGCCCATTGCTGGAAACTACTACCCTATCAACTCTCGTGCATTTCTAAAGGTGGGTGAGCTTTCCACTGGAACCACAAACTGCTGCCAGTTAGAGAAACTACTCAAATTATAACCTCTAGGTTTTAGATTTAGATTCAAGTTGTTTGTTTGTTTTTTATTCTGGAAATGGCAGCTAGACCTACAAACCATCAGACCATTAGAACCTACAAATAATATTGGATTTATCTTATTTGTTAAGGTTTATAACTTTAATGTGTATTCAGGATGACATGAACCAACTCACAGTGGTGACGGATCGTTCACAAGGAGGAAGCAGCCTACAGAATGGTTCTCTGGAGATCATGGTAAGATGTGAATACAGTTAGATTAACTAAAAACTCAAATATTCTTTTTAAAAAAATGGCCACTGATGTAGACTTGAGGGAGTCCAAACAGATCGCAACAGTTCTGGATCACAGTGAACACTTAAAAACATAAAACTTTAAATATAGACCAATAATTCTACTGTTTTACTAGTCATGCCAGCTATTTTAGTGAGATGTAATGAGTAGAAAGCACTGAGTAGAAGAGACTTTCTTCCCCCTCAGCTCCATCGCCGGCTGCTGTATGATGACTACCGTGGTGTTGGTGAGCCTCTTAATGAGGCTTCTGAAATTTTCCCGGAGGGGTTGGTGGTCCGCGGTCGCCTCCTCCTGTCTCTCGACCATCCAGCCAGCGCTGCAGACACACACCGGCCCCTGGCCCAGCAGGTCGTTTTCCAGCCGCTGTTGACGTTTACTGATGGAGATCTGAGTCCAAATGCTCGACTGGAGGTAAATGAGAGGGGATTGTCCTGAAGACACCCCGACTAAGTTCCTTTATGTACGGGGGGGATAAATGCTTATTAGTATATATGTATTTACTGTATTTATTCAAGTATAATACGTAAAATTAAATCCATAAAATCATCCATAAAGTTGGGGGGGTAGTACTATACTCTGATAAATATTTTTACTTGTGTATTTTAACTGAAATATCGGCTTCATTCACTAAATTGAGTCCCGAAATGAGACCACGTCGTAAAACGTAGTTGAAACGAGCTTACCGTTGACACTCCTCCATGCTTCAGAGCGAGATAGTAACAGATCCAGGCAGGCAACATGATGTGTAAAAAAAAAAAAAAAAAGGGGTGGGGTATTCCTGTACCTTTAGTAATGATAACGAATTAATGACATTAGCGTGTGACCAGGCCGCTCCTGGAACAACAACAAACACATGTTCGTCTGTAATGGCTGCCGTCTACCGGTGTTCTAAAAAAGTTCRTATCCCTGAAAAAAAATTTCCCCACCAGAGTAATCTGCCTTTCCCCCACAAGATGGTCCAAAATTCATGTGAAGTCTCTGACTTTTGTGTTGGCGCATCCTGGTGGACTATGTGTAAAATGCCAGAATTCATATGATGCTGATACGGCTGATATATATTTGTTGTCAAAATACCGTTTAGTACATATGTTGTTAAAATAAAATGAACAGTCCAATGATCATTTTACTGTTATGTAAAATGACTGCAAAGGCTGAAAAATCTTGAAGTCTGTATGAAATTGGAGGTAGTTTGAGAATTAATTTTTTTAAGCTCAAAAGGGGGGGGCGATCATATTATACAGTACATGAATAAATACGGTAAGTTTTAATAGGTCTTGTCTTTACAAAAACAATTTATTGCTTATCTTCATCCTTAAGGATAAATACAGAGTATTCTGGTGAGTTAACACCTGACTGTCAGTTCTCTTCTCCAATATGAACTCTCTCCTGTTAAGATTTATGTGCTTGTGAACAAACTCTTATTAGCCAATTGCTTCTCAGAAATCAAGAAAACATGACTAAAATATCTTGACATGTTCTCAGTTTAGCTGCACTTCTTTCTACAGATTAGTCAAAACTTAGTCTTGGTCTTAAGTTTTAATGCAAATGTATCAAATTGACCCCAGAGTCATTTCAAGCTGTTTGTTTATTTATTTGTTTATTTATTTGTTTTTCTTCTCAGTTCTCTGGCCTTCAGGCTGCGCTGCCCCCTGCTGTTCACCTCCTGACATTCAGTCAGTGGGATGAAGAGTCGGTCCTGCTGAGACTGGAGCATCAGTTCCAGAGTTGGGAAAGTAAAGTGAACTCGCATCCCGTCACCATCAACCTCCAGGTCAGACACTTGAAAAAAACACGACACTTTCTGCAAGTATAATTTAAAATGACTGCATACTCACTCATTTTACATTCAAGATAAAAATCGATGTCTCCCGTCGCCATTCAGTAGTGACAGTTTTGTTGGAATCGTCACAGGCCTTCATTATTTAAATAATCTCATCAGGTGAACAGATGGATGGACTCCAGTCGTGTTAAGCAGGTCTCACTTACAATGCACACAATGTGGTTCAGATTGGAAAATATACGTGATTTGGAGCCAACCGCATGTCAGCGACATCATGTCTAATTAGGCCACACCTATGATGTCATATGACCACGTGGGATGACTCAAACCAAGTTTGGTGTATTTTAGCCTTTCTCTGTGCAACTTACATTTTTCTGAAATTGTAACAGATGGACAGAGAGCATTTCTAAGTCCCTGCCTTGGCGATGGGGGACAATAAAATAGAATATATAATTACATAGCTGAATTGTTTTTTTCTATTTGTGCAGAAGTTGTTTTCTACTCTGGATGTTCTGGGTGTTTCTGAGTTGAACCTATCGGCCAATCAGTGGAAAGATGAGATGAAGCATTTCAGCTGGGCTCCTCAGAAAGGTAGACATCTGTACCTGTCAGGAAATCAGTTGGCAGCATGCTGATGTGATGTGATACTGTTTTTTTTTTGTTTTGTTTTGTTTTTTTTAACGGGACACCCAAATAATAAGTAACAGTAGTTCGGCCTAGACATGATAAATGCACAGATCAGTTTTTCTGCATCGTTTTTGGACGTTTCTAATTTTAGTGATATAAGCAGGTGGAAGAAGTTGGTCCTGATAACATTTTTAATGTGGAGGTTAAAAGACATATCCTGATCAAAAATTTTGCGGAATAGCTAATTTTTAACTTTTTGTTATGTTTCTGCTTTTTTAAAAAAATCCTTTATTTCAGTTTCCTTCAGCTTCTGTTTGACTTCTTTTAGGTTTTTTTTTAGCTATCATTCTGACCTTTTCTGCTGCTGTTCTGATTTCACCATTTGTGCTCATTTCAGCTGTTTTCTGTTTTTTTAGCTAGTCTCACCTGTTTGATATCAGCTTCTTACTGCTTTATTAATAAAACCATATGCTCTTTCTGTTTCTTTATACTTTCAGCAAATTTTTTAAACATATTAGGCTAGTTTCAGCTTTTTTAGCTGCGTTAAGCATTTTTCTATGAAACGCAAATTTTCCAGTAAAATGTAGTGTTTTACACCTTATGGGAAGCAAAATCGAAATGAATTTTTGCATCTTCTAGGGATTAAAATGAGGAATGTTGAGCAACTTGTCAAGTTCGTCTTTATTGCTTAAAATAAATAGTTAATCTTTTAGCACATAAGCATCAAATTATCAGCAGCAGGACTTGGAAATTGTGCAAACGACTATAAACTGAAGTCGTATTGTAATTATTGGATGCATTGACGATTACGTCGTCATGCAGCTAATTTGGATGAAAGCATATTAATCTAACAGTGATCCAGGTCATCACAGACTACTTTATAAACACAGACACATGGCTGTACACAACAGGTGTGAAGAAAATAAGGAGGAAATGAGGAACGGGAAATAGATGCGTCATGATTATGGCTTTTTTTTCCTCATAAAATTACGACTTCAATCCCATAAAAATATTTAAAAATCTTGTGTGGCCCTAATACTTTACTTTACTATAYGTAAAGTAAATTTAAACCTCAACACTTAAAAACAAAGACTCCTGAAGTTGGTGTTTAAATGGAAACCAGTGGACCAAGACAAATGTTTCACAGTTCATCCAATCAGCAGCTTACCAGTTACTTCTTAAACGACTTGGCTGCTAGTTTTAGTGTTTGTATCCAGCTTTAAGAGCAAACTGAGGRAAGTGAATACAGAAATTCACTGGCACCTTTTTATTTTCTACAGGGGTTGTATTCACTGCACCATTACTGTTAACTGTGCTGAGCAGACAGAATTCCTCTAGGTGCTAATTAAACAAGGACAAGTCCCAAAAACATTTTTTTTATACTTTGCAGCTTTATTGTGTAAACTACAGGGTGTTTTAGTGCTCCACAAGACTCATTCTGTCATTTCTTATTGCTGTTTATTGCTGAATATTCCTGGTTTGTTTCCGTGCTAGCTAAAGTGGCTGTTTTGGGTATTCATTGTGACGTGCTGTATTTGATTTTTCAGAAGAGACGCCCATGCTGAAGCAGTTTGAAGACCCCTCTGTGTGGGAGGTGACCTTAAGGCCAATGGAGATCCGAACTTTCCTCCTCAGAGTCAGCCGTAAATAACCAACCACCTGCTTCAAGTTACAGTCTTGGTTAGCAACCGAAGACTGAAACACCACCTATGCAAACCTGAACAATGTTTAAATTTTTTTAAGGTGTTTATATACTGCTGAACAAGCATAGGAATTTTAAGAGATGCTCGTTTTTAAAAAAGTCATTTTGATTTAAAGCCACTGTAGTCTGCTGTGTTGATTTATGCTCTTTAAATGACTTCTCAGACCCTGAAAGGATTTGTTTTTACTTTGGGGTCCCACAGAGCAAAAAGTAACACTACTCTCTAGTACCTTTTGATGTAGGATAAAGAGTAAATATTTAATGGCTTCTGGCTCTCTGTGGCTTTTAGTCCATAATTATCACATCTCTATATTATTTTAGCCTGTATGAAATTAACAAAATGATTTGCYAATTTTTTAGCAAAAAGCTATTATTTTAAGAGCAGATAGCTTTTACTTAACTCACACTTTTTTGTGTTAATATAATGAAAACTGATCTGCTCTGGGTTATATCACCAGAATCTCATGCTGGATCCTAACTAAGGCCTGTAGGAAGAAATTAGTTGGGTCTTTATGTTGACATTACCAGTGAATATCTGCATTTTAATGAAGGCAAATTTCAGCACAAGATACTAGAAGCCACTGAACTGACTGGTAAACTTTTACTGAATAAAACGTTCGGTCGGGTGAAAGGAGGAGGGGGGGGGATTGGACCATGTTAAATCTCACGCTTATTGATCCCCCACCCGCTACATTATGAAACACCCACACCATTGCACACTTGTTACCATTTTAAAGGTATTCCTGTCTCTACAGCTAATAGATAAAATCTATTTTTTTTACTTTAATTGGTGCCAATTTGTACAATAAATATATCTCTTGTATATTTGCTTTCATGCATTTGTAAACAAATCTTTCAAAGAATCTAATAAATTGGTCATTCTTATTTTGATACTTGTATGTTCTTATTAATCCACATCCTCTACTAGTGACATGTTGAGCTTTTCAAACTATCAAAGCCACGTATCTCATGCAGCTCCTCTGAATGGAAGAAATGTTTCATAATTGTTTTATTGTTAAAGATGATATGGATGCAGCGATGTGTTTTAGCTGAGGACGTGTACAGATCTTTTTATTGAATTTAAGTTGAACTTGCCATAAGTCACGCTCCTTGTAGCAGCTGAGAGTAATCCATATCAAAGTATTTAAAAGGTACAGCCCAGACTGTAAAGTAATACACTGAGAAATGCAAAACTGCATAAAAGATCAATATGTACATTTCTGGATGTCTTCAACCAAAACATTCTGAGTGTGTCATCCAGGCTGCAGAAATAAAATTATATCATTCATCTATTTTCTCTTCACTCTTCAGTTCCACATCATGGGAGTAGCAGCAGTCACCTCCATGTGTACATGTTCCCTAAAAAATACAAACAGAATACTCAGAGCAGTTTGAAAAGTGATGACATCTTTGAAAAGTAAAATCTGAATCTGTAAAATGGCTGTTTAGTATAAATTAGGTATGCAGACAACATTTTAAATATACAAATATTTTGTTTAATCAAATGAATTGGTGATCCTACTGGTACAAGTGAGCACCTGAGCAATATTTTAATTAAAAACTGTATCAAGTATTTTTCCTGATTAACATTCATCGTGAGACAAACTGATTTCAAAATAATGTTTTTAGGTGAGGACATTCAGAAAATATAATTCAAGCATAGATGTTCTGACATGATAAAAAAAACTATGTTTATATATTTTAACCACAGCTACTAGAAATACGACTAGGACATTTTTATTAAAATGGGAAAATTGTTATTTAATTCAAATATGAACTTTATTTTGGTAGAAAAGCCAACTTTGCACGAGTATTTCTACATTTTAGACATGGAGAATATATATATATATAATTTTTTTGTAGGACTTAGAAAAATGTTTTTTTCTGCTGGAATTTGTTATTTTGTTATTATGTTCATTTTCTTCCTTTTAGCCTTTAAAAACACCAGAATTTGTACAAAACGTTTTATTTTCTGTCAGTCTGATGCAGAGGTGCCCAAAGTGGGGCCCGCGGGCCAAAATTGGCCCGCCTAGCCATTTCATTTGGCCCACCAGCAGTTGTTCTGGTTATTAGATTGTAATTATGTTAAGATTAAATATAAAATACAAGTAACTACAAGAGACATTTAGATTAGATTTAAGCCCATATATAGATTTGCACACCTTATAAGACCACATATATTCAAATTTTAAATTATGAAAAGTCCCATGAGTCTTTGCTGCCTGAGCATAAGTTGAATTTTCTCCATGTCCATGGGCTGAAAAAAATAAACTAAATAATGTGGACAACCACACTGGCTGCTAGCTTAATCATAAAAAAATAAAACAACTTTATTTAAGTATTAAGCATTTCTTATATTATTGCATTTGGCCCGCGGCCCTCAGATTGATTTTAATTTTGGCCCTCTCAGGGAAAATGTTTGGGCACCCCTGGTCTGATGACATCATTTTAAAATATTAAATCAGATGTTTGTGATCAGTTCTCAGTACACAAGTCGCCTCTTTACAAAATTATTTTTGAGTAATTTCTTAGGCGGCTGATTTTTACTTTTACTTGAGTAGAAATATTTTGAAGTAGTGCTACTCTTACTCGAGTACGGTACAACTTTTAGGTACTTCAGGTTGAGAAATCTGACCTGTTTGAACTTCTTGCAGGGAAAGTTCTTCAGCTGAGAAGAGTCGGTGATCTTGTTCTCCCTCTTGTTCTGGCACTTCTTCCTCTTGTCTTGCAGGTCTGAAGAGATGCCACCACTGCAAAAAAGAAACAACAGTTAACACTAAAAGGGAAAATGACAATAAATAAATGAAGGTAGGAAAAAGACACCATAAAATAAATTCTAATACAACAGTATAATTTTCTAATAGACAAAAAGCTCAACATGAGTATAAACAGGTTTAAACTTGAAAATGTAACCTGCAATAATTATTGTCACTTCTAAAACAATCTATTGAATTTATTGGGTAATGTAAGCTACAGCACATTTCATTAAATCAGTTATAATGGCACTGTGTGTTTGTATTTTTTTTTACCCAGCTTTGGCTCGAGCTTTGGGTCCCCAGAAGGGTTGAGGATTCAGCTGGAACCGAGTCAAATGATGTTTACGAGACTCAGGGTTGGCATCCTCTCTGATTGTAAAACAGGCCTCTAGACTACACACACACAGGTTATCCAACAATAAGGTTAGAATAATAAAGCTTTAATGAGGAGCAGACATTTAAAACTACTTCACAAATAAAATCCTGCAGGTTCACATCACATCTAGCACTTTATGTCCATATATTAATTTCCACGTCTTTTTATATATTTAACATTAAACATAATCTTCTGAGCAGTTATTAAACTAACTGCATATAATAAAACTGATCAAGTTAATAAACTGGTTGGACTGGTCTCACCTGGGCTCAGTGGAGAGGATGTTGAATGCAGGACTACCCGGGGACAACCTCTCCCTCTTCACAGGGTTGGTTTTCTCCTACGACAGACAAGCAAACAAAGAAATAAATCTATCATTTTTTCGGTTATGAAGTTCTAAAAAGCACCGGTTTCTACATTTGTCTCAACCAGCAACAGCAGAGAAATCTGATTTCTCAAAAAATAAAACATTTATATTTGTTTATTTATTTATTTTTATTTATTTACCCAGCATCGCATGATGTCCCAGATGGCTGCAGGAGGAGCGTCTGTTTTTACGGCATTTTTACGAGCATGAGAGAGAGAGACTCTGTAACCAGCATGAAGCAGAGCAGATCTGCAGAAAAGAGGAGGCTAAGTAAGTTCATTCAGTCTGAGACAAACATGTTTGGCTAATTTAATAAGCATCTGTGTATAAGCAGCTTTAAAGTGCCTGTGACATGAAATTTTTTTTTAATAAATATAAAGGCATTATTGGAAATATAACATTATTAGCATATTGCAAAAATAATTGTTGAAATTTTTGCATGTGAAGCAACAGGAAGTGATGTCAAAGGGGAATGCCTGCATGGAACAAAGCATTGATAAAATAGCTAACGACACAGACAGACATCAGAGAGATGAAGATGAGTCAGAGTTCAAATAATATTGTTTCAATAAACAAAGACTAAAGAGTTCTTTCTTAAAAAGTTCCCCTTTGATGTCACTTCCTGTTGCACTCTGGCTGAGCCATGTTTAAAAGAAAATGTGACATTTATGTGACATAATGAGTAAAATCACATTTTATGCAAAGTTTCTTACATAAAAATGTGTTTTCTTTGACTTCTTGTATTTGAGGGATAGGCATGTCACAGGCACTTTAAAAGGAAACATCATGCAAAATCCACCTTTTTAGCCATTTAATGCATTTTGTTGTTTACTTGGAGTCTCTAGGAGTGCAAAAAAGTTGAACTTAGTCTCCCCCAGTTCTGTTTAGATATATTTATATTCGAGTTAGGTTGTATTTTTCAACCCGTTCAGTTTTTTCTATTACATATTTTGAACAATAACTTTACAGCATTTGCTGAAAACGGCTAAACAAGGTCATGGACTTCTGGCTCGCCAAGTTCATGAATCTGCAGTTCTTCATGTTTGCCTTCTTCATTCTCCTCTCTGGCTCTGGGTCAGACTCTGGCTCCAACATGTAAGGCTGGATGGACAAGTCTTCTGTTGACATCCTTTAACCAGTTTGTAAATAAAATGGTTTTCTGATATACAAAAATGCCTGAAAGGCGCGGARGGGGGCTGGGCGTGAAGCACCTCGTTTGTATTTAAAGAGATAGCATCAAAATGAGTTGCTCTGAAATCACCACAGACAAGAGGTGAAAGAGGGGCTTGTGGAGTTACAATAAGGAGGAATTCAAACCAAAGCATTGCAATTCCACTTTATATAGACCCCAACTGAAAGATTTTAAAGGTGAAAAATAAGGATATGTCTCCTTTCCTATTGATGTGGCTTATTGATGTTTCAATCAACTGGTGTGTAATGATTACCTGATCTGGAGCAGAGGAGGAGTTTCACTTTTGATTATGCTGCTCAGGTTGTCCACTGTGTAGTAAAGAGGAACATCTTGCAACTCCTAAAACAAATGAAGACACCAAACTTCAATATGAAGTATAAAACCAGCACCAAACAATAAAGGAATACCTCAGCAACCATGCTGAGCATCCCCGCGATCCGTTTGGACGTCCCAAATCTGGAAGGATTCCCCGACACGGCGGCTAAAACCTTCTGGACGAATCCCAGGTCATGGATGGGCTCGGCCCAGATAGGACCACCCAGCTGCCACAAATAAAAAAAACACTTCAGCTGATCCGTTATAAAAGACATGTTTATACACAGATAACCACAAACTGACAGAGGTGACTTTAAATAAAAGTAAGAAATAACAAAAACCTTCTTACTGAGCACAATCAAATTCCTGGTGTTCACAAAGTTGAGCAATAAATCTAACAGAAGAAACATTTTACAYGTATGACTACAACTTCCAGTGTGTTGCACCTGATGCCTCTGTCCACAGTGTTCACACTCCAGTCCAACCGGGGGTCCTGTGGCAGCACAATACTTCATGCTGAAATCAGAAATATTTACAAAATACAGTGAAAATATGAGAAAATACATCAGCACAGTTAGTAACGTCACTGTTTTATTTAGTTTGCCGGTCAGCCCGCCTCGATAAGATCAATACATGAAATGATGATCTGTGAAGTTTCTTACTTTTTCCCGTTGTCGATTCTTCTGCCCATTCTCTGAAAATGGAAAGAGCCGCAGCCGACACAGTTGTACACCAAAGCCTGTTTGCTGCAACACAGGAAGGAGATTCATCCAGAGTGCTTTTCATTAAATATAATCTGTTCTGTGAGATCTATGCACAAACAGCATTAAGGTGAAGTTTTATTTGCATGTGTTTATCATTATAAGCACAYGAAGCTTGTTTTAGTTCAGTTATCACTATTTGAGTAGCTCTGACTTAATTGTGCTGCTTTCATTTAATCTTAGGGTGTATTCACACCATGAAATTCCTTTGGTCCGCTTGTTTGCTTCGGACCAAAAGTGGAATTTATTTATTTATTTATTTGTTTATTTATTGTTTGTTTGGTGCGGTTTGCATTCATGTTGTTCTTTTTCGCAATCAAACTATAACTTGTAAACAAAGCCACGAGGGTGATGATCTTTGCTCCCACTGGACAGAAAGGACAGGGGCGGGACTGAGAGCACAGACCCAGAAAAAAACATCGAAGTTCTGCGTGCTGCGGTTCTGATGTCACATTTGTCATGTTAGTACAACTGAAATAGCATTTAAAATGTCAAAAGCAGATAATTAAATGGTGGTTTCGCAATGATATTCTAATTTTGGAGCGGCATCAGTTAATGTGTGGAGAGACGAGGTGCTGTGCGTGTCCTGACCCACTACATGCTGGCAGCAGAGCGGCTGAGCAGGAGACGACAAATCGGGTATGATTTCAGTTTATTTAGCTCAGCAACGGTGACCTGTGAAGTCCAATAATGTGCATATTTTATGCAGTTGGTTCTGGTCTGTATTCACACCAGAAGCGAACCGCACCAGAGTTCATTTGGAAGAGGACCGAGACCCGCTTTTTGAGGTGTCTCGGTTGTTTGATCCGCACCAGAGTTTGCGTGTAGTACTGCCCCCTACCGGTGGAAAAATGAAGTAAACTTAGTTTTGGTATTAACCATAGATATAATAAAAGGACTAGATACCGTAATCACCATAAAAATGAAAATATTCTATTCTGTGTCGCCTTAGCTTAAGGCTGGCAAATATGTCAATGACTTTTTCAGAACACCAGAGTTTGCATAAGTGTACTCACACCTGCACAAAAAGTCTGGACCAACGGGAGAAATTAACTCTGGTCTGTTTAAAGCGGACCAAATGTGTCAGGTGTGAATATGACCTTAACGTCTTTTTATTCTTATTGTGTTGTAGGTTTGAATGCTTAGTTGTTAGTTTWTATTTTACTGTAAAACACCAGGTCAGGTTTTTTTTATTTTCAGATGTGCTATAGAAATAACTGTTAACATGATCCCTTTTTTATTTAACAATAAACCACGTCACATTTTTAAGTTTTGATCAATTTCTGGTAATGAGGTCTTTATTTTCAGATTTTGGTTCTGCAGTGACCCAGTTTAGGGATCATGATGGATGGATGGATGGATGGATGGATGGATGGATGGATATACATGTCAGTATTGGTTTGTGGACATATTTTGACATTGCACTGTGCTTTGAGGACATTTTGCAGTTGTGTGGACATTTGCCTGGGACACACAATGTAAAAACTGTCAGGTTAGTTTTAGGGCTAAGGTATGCATTAAGTTTAGGTCAGGATTAGGTATGTACCTTTGAAGTTAGGTTTAGGGGAAGGGATCAGGGTTAGGCTGTAGAAATTAATGGAAGTCAATGCTAGTCCACACAACAATAAAAAATACTAGTATGTCCATGTAAAGAGCACCTGGCTGAGTTTTTGACAGTAGCCTGTCCTGTGAAAACACGAACAAAGACCCGGATGTAAAAGTCAGCGCTGATGGAGAGCAGTGGTTGGATGTATCGCTGGTACACAGATGCACGCTGGTCCAAACTGTGGAGGATAATGCGAAGAGCCTGCAGGAAAAAAATAAATAAAGACTGAAGCAACAAATGTATTTATAATTAAATCAGTTGGTCGCACTGTAAACATTCAAACCTCTCTTTTGCCTTAAAAAAACATCTTATGATAATAAATTCTCATCTTAGAAAACATTTCTTTAGGTAGTGTCTAAATTTGTTGCAGAATCCAAAACACTATTTTTGCATTGAATGAATATTATTTATAGGCCATTAAGATTTGATTTTAACAGATTTTCAGCTAAATTACATAGATGTGTATCCAGTAATTACATCCTGGGAGTTTCATTAAAATCCATCCAGTGATTTAAAGATATTTCACCATCAGATTGACAAACACAAACATGGTCAATCAGATGGACCTCCACTGGCCCTGATGTCCACACCCAGTTTAGAAAAACGATAAAATCCAAGAGTGTGAGTGTTGAACTGACAGACAAAAAGGAGTGAAGAAAACTGGGTTCACTGTAACTAAGATTGTCATTAAAGAATAAAAATTGCAGTCCTTCTAAAATCGTGCAGCTCATTCTACATGTATTAATGTGTACTTAGGCCTGTCACAATAACTAATTTTGCTGGACTATAAATTGTCTCAGAAACTATTACGATACACATAAAGATTGTCTGTAGACCATTTTAAACTAACATAATGATTCCACCCCTCAGCTTACCCTTCAGTTTATGAAATGTTTGTATATAAAAAAAAAAAGTATGAAACTGACCTGGACCAGAGATTGAAAAAACAACACACAACAGCTACTGAAGCTGTAACGTCGCTACCCACTTATACCCTATCTATCACAATTTTTTTATGCATTTTCCTCTGGCTTTATAAAATAACACTGCTTTCAAAGTTTACATAATTTACGAGTGTAAAAAAGGGACCTATTGTGCAAAATTCCCTTTTTAAAGGTTTTTTTTATTCAACTTTGGGTATGTACTTCTTTAAAAAAAGTCCTAGGACCAAAAAAATGCACCCAGGGGCATATTTACTGTAAGTAAAAGTATTTTTAATGTATATTAACGACAAGTTTTATACTTCCGTCATTTTGTGATGTCACAAGCCGTACTGGTAACAGCATGCAGAGTGAGCGCAGTGCAGAGGGAGGGAAAAAAAAGAAGCTGYGACCACGACTCTGCCTCTGGGTCTCATATGGTTGTACAACGGAGCTTCTACTATTATTAGCCATGCTAACGTACACGCTGGCTTTGGAGGGCGGAGTTAATGTCAACAGATTTTTGGAGGGCGTTACCAACAGAGCTCATTAACATAAACAGCTCTTCTGAACGGAAGTCAGACCAGGCAGTTTATTATCTGAGAATTATTTTGTGCATTAAATTGAATGAACATGGTCTGGATAGCCCACAGACATAACATAAAAATTTCTAGGACCCTTAATTGGTCTCCTTTAACACTCCCAGCAAACCCAAGATTCGTCAAGTTGCCCTGAGAGCATCCTGAGGCATCGACAGCTGAAAGAAGGTGTCAGAAAACCGAAGATGCTCCCCTGGCTAAATGCCTGTTCACAGTGCTCTCACGCTACAGAGGCTATGAGACCAAGCGTCTGGCAAATACCTGACGAAAGAGTTCACTTCTTCCTACGCTAAAATGTACAAAAGAGGGAGACTCGAAAACAAACAAGCAGACAAATGAAAATTATTAACCTCACTTTAATTTATTGTGTGATTATTTGATTTATTGCTCATCACAACAGGCATATGAATACTTKATTCCAAGGTTGTTGAGTCTAATAATTGTGGGAAAAAAATTTAAGACAATCCATGAATAAGAGGGAAGGAATGGAATCGAATCTCCCATTAAAATCAGCTGAAATGATATTTCAACATGAGCTTTATTATGAAGCCACATGTGCTGTAGATCCACTGAATGTCTCAAATAACAAGTACTGAAATCCAGTAGAAGGAACTTCTCATTAGTTTGGAAGATTTTTCCACAAACCTCCAGTCAAACAAAGCGAAGGCTCTTGTCAGAGTCTGTACCAGCTTTTAGTTTCAGTTAGTGACTCACACAGATATTTATGAGTCCTGAATGAAAAGAATAAAGCCAGTGGGTAGAAACATACTGGCATGTTTGTACACGTACCCCATGTCCGTTTTCACATTGCTGAGTGTGTGTGTGTGTGTGTGTGTGTGTGTGTGTGTGTGTACACTCTGTGCCCTCACCATCTCATGACAGTACTTGGCTTTGAGGGAGACCGAGCCGTATTTTCCGTAGCATGTTTCTCCACAGTTTCCAGCCATGACGGCCATGTCTGTACACGTTATACACAGAAGACCTGAGGGAGATACAGACAAGACACTGGATGATGGGTGAAGGCAGTGAAAGCTGAACACGAATTACTACAGTTAACTGTTTGTGGCTTTTAAACTCCTCGCACTGATGCAACACTAAAATGTTTGGCAGTTTGCTCATTTAGGATTCCCCGAAGTGGCTTTTTGTCTTGCCATGAAAATAAAACAGCTTATAGGGGGAAAAAAAGAAAACAAAAAAAAAAGCACCAACTCCCAATAATTTCCATTTTAACAAGCCGAAAGCTGAAAACTTGTCAAAAAATTATTCTTTCTACAAAGAGGAAAATTGCAAAAAGTTCAGTCTGGGTTGATTGGTCCACAATGATGATAAAAGTTTTAAAATGTTTTATACTACAGCTCACAGGAAAAAACATCTATTTCTTGTTTCTTTGAAAGGGAAATGAGAAAAATAATTGTCTTTTTCACTTAATTTAATATCCAAATAGTACGGACTAACATCACAAACACACTAACCATATTACTTCTGCTACCAAAAGGTTCAACAGTACGCATTTAGAATAAATCAGGACTAGGGCTGCACCGATTAGTTGAAATAATCTATGACGTCGATTATGTAAATTTGTCGA